CTAGAGATGCCGGGGATCCAGGCCTCATGGACCAAAAATTCCCAGGGAGATGCTGGTGGATCGAGCGTGGAGGCATACGAACAATCTTCAGTGTGCCCTTATGGAGGTCTGGGAGGCCTCCCTCAGCGATGACCGCAATATTTTTGAGGTGGTGAAGTATGCGGGGGCAGAATTTTAAGCCTCTCTAGAGATGAGCAGCCTCGCAGGGGAGGTGAAGGCGGAGATTACTCTTTAGTTCGAGACCATATGCTATGCAGGTCTGAAGCCTGCCTGGGATGCATCTTGGTGGGATGTGGAAGTCTATGAGCTACGATGCATAGAGAATAAGCCTATCATTGGCGCTCCCTGGAAATCGTCAAAAAGAGGATCCTTGTGTAGAAAGAGCACGAGCGTGATGATTCCTTCCATCAGCGTCTCAGAGCGAAGTCCTTGGAGGATGCATACGCCACCGACCAGTCGTTGGAGTCGTATGTTGAGGAAAGCAGGTTCTTGGAGAGGATAACACCTAGGCCGCCGGCTCAGGACATCCATTCGCCTTCGCTTCAGGCTGCGGTGGAGGGCTGGAATACCCAAACGAAGAACATCCAATCTCATTGGAGGTTTGATGTGGTCAAGATGGAGATATAGGGATGGCTCAAAGGATATAAGCCCAGGCCAGATTTCGATTGGGAACCCACTCCCCGGTGGAGAGGCATGGGTGAGGGAAGCGGGAACATGGCGAATGCGCAATGGGGTGCCCCAGTGATGTGAGAGGGGTGCATTTGATTGGACTGCATAGTATGTCATTGGGATAATTTGGACTGACATCGGTAGCATTACATGAGTGGGGGATCGATGTACATGTAATATTTTTGAGGTAATAAGACGCTCTGGTGATAGTGGAAATCAGTGGGTTCACGTGAAATGGACAACAAGGGGGATGGAGCGGCAGAATCTGGAAGGGGTCTGAAGATTGTGGATGTGGTTGAAGATCCCGGCCCTTTTGGACCTTTGATTTTGTCGTATATTTTAATGTATAAAGCATTGGGGGTGCACAGTGCAGTGGCCCCTAGTCTGTAAGACTGATTATCTTGCAACTGGTGCACCGGACAGGCCGCCTCGCACGTCGAGTGTGGGGCTTGAAGGTCGGGCAGGTGAATCCCTTCCAAGGGAAAAGCCCTGCATCCTGTGGGGAGACAGATTCCCATGTGCATTGTTGGCAATACCAATATACGGTGCATGCGCATGTCGAATTCTGCTGCGCCCACCCTGAAGGGTCGTGCCATATATCGGCACCGATCTTTACACGTGGCAATAAGCGGAAATGTGTGCGTAAGATGTGTGCGGTACTACTTGTTGGAAGTTTCCTCGTAACAATACCCTGTTGGGAAACAAAACCATCGCTTGGACTGTATATGGACGCACGGGTTTGCTTGTGACGAACGTTGGTTGGGGGCCCACCCTGGCGTTTCTCTGTGCACACTCGGGGATTGTGCCCCACTGGATGGTTGCCATGCCGTGCTGAAGTCGCCTATCGAAGGCGCAACTTCGCCATCGAGTCCAGCTCGATTGGGCGATCGTTGAGATTCGTGCGTGACCGGTCCTCGACGGGAAGATTCGTCATCCGAACGCTTTTGCACGGGGGTACAAAGCTCGACGCCGCACTGCCACCCCAAAACCAACAGTGAAATGCCCTTCACCGCGGCCAAAAGCGCGCACAATCCACCTCGTAATCCTGGCAAATCTCACCTGAGGTAGGCCCTTTCGACGCTCACCCACGTGCCCCACCCCCCCAAAGGGCAAAAATGGCCCAGTGTCTGCCGTGCCCAAAAAACGTCGTCCGCGCACATCCTGCCCCAGCACTGGGTCGGTCATCGTGCCGCGCACCCGTTGCGTCGGCTGCCCTCCAACGGACACACGGTGCCCCGTTGCCCCACCGACGGAAGGGCACCCCAATAAGTATCCGCAGCGCCCGTGGCACGGGGGCGCCTGGTCCCAGCAGGGCGCTGGGTGTCCGCCCACCGCCCTGGCGCCTCCGCCGAGAGGTGGGGGGGGCTAGAGCTGGCTCTTGCGGTCCACCCGGTGGTATTGCGCCCGAAAGGTGGACTGGTGGGAGCGGGCATCCTGGGGCTAAGTTCAACGCAGCGGTCAAAGGTGATGGGCTGACAGCCCCTGGGAATGCTGTCCGAGGGGATCAGTTTGTCTCGTTCGGCTCTTGCCATGCGGCCGCCCGGTTGGTATGGACAAAGGGTTGTTCCTGCCATGGCTCGACTGGGTTCATGCCAGAGACAGGCCTGGGCAGCACTGATGCGTCCAAGCAGGACTTGTGCGCGAAACCACAGGTTGGAGGCGTTCCCGTGCGTTGGTGGGCATGAGAATGGCCGTCGAGGGTGGCACCTTACTCATCGGGGTTTGGCAGAGGCTCGATTGACCCGTGTGACTGATGCACAGACGGCGGCAGAGCGACGGGTGTGAAGGAGTGGGCGCGTGGCGGAGGTGGCGGAGGAGGTTGGCGGGAGGCGCGGGCGAAGGGCAGGCGAGCCTTATGCAGGTGCACCACCCTGGCCCGCAAGTCGGGGGGACGAAAGCCCCACATCACAGTAGCTGCAATAGTCATTTATCGCATCATCAAACTGCGTGGAATTGTGGTGCAGTACGACCCACCATGCGCGCATTTTGGTTGCCACGAACAGCAAAAGCATTAGATGTGGTCAACTACTGCCGGATGTCCAGCGGCCATAGACATGGTCGCTGGCTACCAGTACTCCAACTGTCAAAGTTGGAACTTGTGAGCATAGATCCTCTTCACGCTTAGGAGTGCAGACGATCTGAAACCAACGTGCCATGCACTGCCTGAGCTGGTTTGTGGGAAGATCTGTGGAGGTTTCGGAAATTGCAGGCACAAAAGTTCGACGGGCGAGAAAATTTCCAGCAAACTCTTGCGCGGTGGGGAGAGATTCAATAGAATTTATGCGCAGCAAACTTTTTGAGTCTGAAATACTCTGCAATAGCCTGGGTCCAACGCCTTTTATGCCTGTTATGCAAAATGCAGGCCTGTGCAGTCGTCGCTGTGTGTGTGTGTGTGTGTGTGTGTTTCATTTTTATGGTGCTGGGTGGCGGTGCCACTGTGGCACCTTTCGTCTTGGAAATGTGAACAGAGACACAATTCTGCTGATGTACCCAAGCTTGCAACACCCTTTATTTTTTTGGCCCACTGTAATACATGGGAATCACGTGGTGCTTCTGTGTTGTGTTACTCTGTTTGTTAGCAAGGAAGCCCCATTGCTTTAGGTGCTTTGCTGGTGACAATCCATGAAAACCCCAGCAAAGTTCATGCTGGGTGCTGTGGTATCATCATCAGCGTCATCAATTTCCTGTCAATACATTTGTCACAAAAGACAAAGCACAGCCCTTGTGCCTAGTGGACGATGGTGGGCATAACTACACATGTATGGTTTGCTCAGATCAGAGGCAGTTCCTGGCCTCAAAACCATATGCCCAGATGCTCTGGTTTATAAAGCAGGTTACCCAGGAATACCCAGGTAACCCTGGCACCAATAACCAGTGTAATCGTCAATGCTGTGATACTGGGTCTGCCGTTATCTAGGTCCAGGAATGTATCTGGATATTGGATCCCCCACCTAAAAAAACCCCCTGGCACATTGCTCCCCACCTGCTAGTCAGCGGCAACCTAGTGCTGCCATTCTGCAGTTTAGCCGCTGTTTCGATCCTGTCACAGCCATATAGTTACCACTGCATAAGGAAGCTGTGGCCATTGCGCACGGCAACTGTGCATGGGCTACCATGAACCCCCCCCCACACTACCCACCACCACCCAGTTGATCGAGGATGAATCCCCGAAAGCCAAGTTGGGTAGCCCCCCCCACCCACACACACACCCACACACCCACACAAACACACCAAGAGAAAAAGGAGTCCAGAGTTGGGTGCAACAATGGCACAACGATTCTGCAACTTGCCCACCTGATCGTTCTTCGCTTGCCTTAATTCTGAAGAGTGATTCTTTATGGGGCAAGGGTAGGAATGGCAGGGAAACATGATGGATGGCTGATTGGCTGGCTAGTGCTGGATAGAACGCCTTAAGCCTTTTCAACTGCTCTTTTTGTTGGGAAACGAGGCTGTTCGGTTGTGAGGCAGCCGTACATTGATTGAAAGTGTTGAGAGGTGGGACATGGAGATCGAATGCAGCTCCAGCATCGTAAAGTTGAGGAGAGCATCTTTTGGATAGTGGGTGGGGGGTTTGGGACACGGCAAGGAGTCAAAAACCTCATTTTCACTTGAGCGCATGGGCATTAAGAGTCACAAGGCAAAGGGTCGAAGCTGTGCTGAGGGAAGATCGTTTCTGCCAATGTTTACTACCCCACTTGCAGCAGCTGTGGAGGTTGACACTTATTGCATGTGCAATACATTGTCACCACTTCCAGCCCAACTTGCTCAATCTAGGGCTACCAGGTGTTTACTTTTAAAAAATTTCTTCATCCACTCCTTGAACAGCAGGTCAAAACCTTGTCAGTGTCCATGAAGCAGCGTTAGTATCCATCAGCGTGTTGTGTTGTGTCTGGGGCTCTCAGCATTCATTGGTATTGAAACTGGACAAAGATACCTTTGAGGGCAGTGCAGAATGCAATGCTTGCAACTCCCGCAAATATATGCATGGATCATGGGTTGATCGAAATTCAGTTGGGAATTATCCTGAATCGGGATTCCTTGGGATGATTCGAAACTGATTGTTTCCTGTGATCTTCATCAAGGAATGCATCCTCATCTTCACAATAGTGCAGTGATCAGAAACATGCAAACCCATTGTCGACTCATTTCTGGATATATGCGATAAGTTACCTTGTAATATTTATGAGAACTGCAGTTTCTACTGTGGTATCCAGCAACTAGGATGCCTCAGGTATAGATCTATTTGGAATGAATGGCAGAAATGCTTGTTTTCATAAGACACCTCAGCAAGGTCTGCTTTATGCATTGCAGGGAGGTTTGAAGACAATGGAATGGTGCTAGCAGCTTCGCGTGAGTTTTCCTTCTCGTTTGCTTAATTTGTAAGAGATTGCATACAATACAGCATCCATTGCCTGGTTGCAATGCTGCTCCTTTAATGTGTTGGTGACTCTGCTTCATTCTCTGAGGTGCTGAGGCAGACGATGCGTCATTTCCATGGCTTGTTCGGTATTGGGTAGACCATGGCAGCATTGTTGTTGACTTCAAGAATTTGTTCTGTTGCGTGTATTGCCAGTGCCTAGGAAATGTTGGCTGCCATTTACTTTGCATTGAATTGTAAAAGGAGAATAGTTAGTTGCAGACTCATCGTCTATGTATCCGATTTATTGATAGCCTTACAGTGCCTTTCATTTGGTCTGGGAGAGCCTTGCATGAGCTTTGGGTTTTCTAAAGCTCATCCTTTGGCCTTGAGCACTGCAGTTATATAGCAGCTGCGCAACCTTCTTGCTCATGTTTTGGCACTTCGCATTCGGTCTGCTCAACAGCAGCAAATTTTGCCCATTGTTCAGAGCATTGTGTTGTATAGGTAAGGGTAAATTTCTTGCCTCCTGTGATGCTGTTTTGCTTGTGTTATGTGCAGTGCTTTGTAAATGTTTTGGATATCTGGACACAGAATTTGATAGAATTTGCATGTTTGTCTTCAGATTTGCGAGGTTGTGGTGCAATGGAGGAGCTGGTGGAGGAACTGATGGACATAGTGGGGACATGTAGAGATGAGCTGGTGTTGGTAAAGTACAATAAGGGGATGTTGGAATTCCTTTTCCAACAAATGGAGAAGGTTGAATCTCAGCGGCTGCGGCTCTCAGAAGCCAGAGAGCTGCCAGAATGGTGGAACGCAATGAAGAGAATATTGCAGTCTGGTGCTGAATTGGTCAGGAGGCACCAGGTTGTTGACTTTCTGAACCTGAACAGAATAGCTGAAACCCGTGCAAAGGTGGAGAGAAAATGCCAAGATCTCAAGATTTTGTTGGCAAAACTGCCAATGGGCAGGATTTTCAACATCCAGACCTCCGTTACTGAGGTGATTGTTGCAGATGACCGAACTAGATTACGATGGCTTGTGGCATGCTTGGCAGACAGCAATGACAGCAATAATGCCTGCCATGACAAGGCGACAGCCAAGGAACTACAGAAGTTGAGAAAAGACCATAGTATCTCGGACCGTGCTCATTTAATTCGGGAGGAGGACCTTGAGTGGTGGGATGAACCCATTGGCAAGGGGTTGTATGGGGCAGTTTGGGAGGCAAGGTGGCAGGAACACAGAGTGGCTGTGAAAAAGTACCATCAACAATTTGGTTATCTCAGTGATGAGGCAAAGGCAGAATTCTTTGCGGAGGTTGAGATTCATATTAGGATGAAGCACCCCAATGTTCTTGCCACCCTTGCTGCCAGTGCTACAGAGGAGTGTGTATTCACAGTTGTGGAGCTTGCCAAGACGAATCTGAAGAAGTTGTACCAGCAAGAGAAACTGTCTGTGAGCCAGAGGATAGGCCTATTAACCGAAGCAGCCTATGGCCTGATGTATCTGCATGACAGGGGCCTAGTGCACCGAGATGTAAAGAGCGAAAACTTCTTGCTGTTTGGGGAGTTTCCAGACAATTTTGTGCTGAAGGTTTCGGATTTTGGGCTGGCAACAATGAAGCCAAAGACAATGATGACATTGCAGCAGCCAGAGACTCTGCTATGCGGGGCACCAGATATCAGCAGGGGGGAGCCACCCAGCAGGAAGTCAGATGTATTCAATTTTGGCATTGTCATGCATGAGGTGATGGCCCAGCAAGCACCCTACCAACGCAATGCTTCACAACACAATCTCACTTCAAAGAAGAGGAAGGGAGCAAGTCCATGCACCATACCTGAGGACTGCCCACCTGCCTTGATCAAATTGATGAGGGGCTGTGTGACCTTGAATGCATCCAAGAGGCCACTGTTGGTGGAGGTGCTAAATTGCCTAACAGAACTGCGGCATGAGGTGAGATATTTGCAGCATTATATTATGGTGGTCATTGTAAAGAAGCAGAAAACTTGCCATGCACTTGAATCATCTGTACCCAGGAAATAGCGTGAATGGTAGATGGCATGAATGTACAATGTTGTGCCTGGTCAATGGTGCTTATGTTACCTCAATATGCAAGAAGAATGCATGTGCGTATAGTGCTAGCATCAATACAGAGCAGTTTTGTGATAACTTTACAGCACACAGAAGAAGAATGGCAGGATTCATGATCTGTGTTGACTGTTGATTGCTGACTTCTATTTGTGTTTGATGATTGTGTTGTTTGTGCTGCAGTTCAACATGCATCCGGTGAGGGTTGCCATCCCCCAGGTTTCTGGTGTTACAGTTTATGAGTGCAGCTCCTTGTGTGTTGATGATCATCCATCAAATGTGACTGATGTTGGCGCAGGGGGTGCACAAGGTCTTGAGAGTGCGTCTTGATATGTTTCATGCCAAGTGAAAGCTGTTGCGGTACCCATGTCTTAGTGCGACACTCGCTGTGTGTTTTCAGAATGAGAATACCACAAATTGTAGGAGTTGTCCACACTGAATGTGGACAGCACTGTGGGCAATGCGGTATGAGATTGCCTGTCTTTGAATCCAATGACCTTGTGTGAATCTAGTCATGTCAGGGTGCTTCCTGCTAAGAAGTTAGCAGAAATGTCATTGTGCCTTGTATTGTTGGCTCAGGTCCCTCCCGATGTTACTGAGTGGATTGAACAGACAAAGAATGACCTGCACCATCACAATCCGGTGAGCGTGGTGCCTGGCACCTGTGCAAGTTCAGGTTGGTGGTTCCTAAACTGCCATAGTTGTTTTCTGTGTGATGTGCTGGACTCTTTTGTGGCAGAATTTGGTGGCACCTAGCATTCTGTTGTGTGGTTCTTGTTTTGGTTTGTTGCACTGGCTTGTACTCAAGCACAGAAGGTTCAGCAAAGAGGGGAAAACACATCGGTATAGATACAGAATTGGCTGCATTCCATGTGATCTTGTCCAGAAGCACTGGAGCATTGTCATATTTTGTATCAACACTGTTGTGTCCCATGTAGGAACATATGGCACTGCTTCATGTGGCTGCACAAGAGGGCAATTGTGGCGTGGGCAGTGTCCTGATATCCCCCCTGGGCAATGATGTTGATGCCAAGGACATGGTGAGCTTCATTCAATGGTGCTTTGTATTGTTGTACTGTTCCCACAATTGAGAGCTGCCAAGTGGATATCAGTGTGCTGGGGTCGAAGGCAACAAGAGCGGCTCAGTCCTTTCCACACTCTGATGTAACATTTCTGAGTAGTGTTTCCTGTCTTGCAAGTAATGCTGCACATGATGTTGTTGATTCTTTGGTTCGATGCAGAATGCGTGGACGCCTCTGCACTGGGCAGCCTACAATGGCCATGTTGACATGGTCGCACTGCTAATGAAGCATGAGGCTGACAAAGATGCAAAAAACAGGGTAATCGAGCATGCACATTTCATCGTTCGTGTTTTCTGCTGCGCTAGTTTTTCTAGAGAGAATATGGTACAACGTTTATCACTTGTGGCCAACAAGTTTTGTTTGGGAATTGTTGATGTAGGGAGGTCATACGCCACTACATTTGGCCTCTTCAACAGGCCGCAAGGGTGTGGTCCAGCTCCTTCTGGAAGAGGGTGCTGACAGAGATGCCAAGACACAGGTAGGCAATGTGTTTCATCCTGGTGCCCTTTTGTTGCTGACTGTGTTATGTTGACACTAGAAAGTTCGCATGGTACATTCCTCATGCGGTGAGGGTTTCTAAAGTTGTTGTTTCCAGTAGGAGTCAATGAGCCAGCGTTCAAGGTGACCAAGTCAGTCAACATGTGGAACATTTGCTCAGGCTACAAGATCTTGTTTTCTGACAAGCTGTTCAAATGGAACAATGTCATGGCAATTTGTCCTTCTTTGTAGTTTTGATCCATCTACCAATGTGTGCTTCATGTAGTTTGAAGAAACTGCACTGCATTGGGCTGCCCACAATGGTCACAAGCATGTTGTTGCCCAGCTGATTGACATGGGCGCAGATAGAAATGCAAAAGGAGAGGTAAGCTGTGAGGTGAAGGTTGGGACTGACAATGTGGTTTGAACAAGAAGAACAAGATTTCCTAAGTGTGGTGTTATGACAAGGATGTGCATGTCACCGTATATGCTATGCCTGCAGTATATGATTCATCAGAGTGTATCATGGCAACGTCCATGGCCTCCCATGTGCCACCCCCCTACCCACAATCTCAAAGGCGCCTCTGTGGAACAGCACCACACAGTACATTAATGTGGTTTGAAAGCTGATGTTATATCTATGATGACAATGTATTAGGAGAGAGCTGGTCTTCATTAACTTTATATGGCGGCTGCATGGCCAATTCATTTCATTGCATGCTGGTATGTGGTAACGCAGGTGCACATTAGGTCTATGGCTGTGGTGTTGGCCATGGAACTCGTAGCTCAGGGGCCATACTATGGATGTTGGCAATGTGAGTGCATGAAGTCCTTTAAATGTAGGAAAATTGAGCAGAACAGTGTATGAGGCTGATGTCAGAGGCGCATTTGGGCAATTGAATGGGGTCACTGTCGGGAGTGTAACTTCAATGGGGCTTGAAGCCCTTTGTGTGGTCGTAGCAGTTCTACAACCAGGAACATGTCGCATGTGAGCATGGGCTTCACACCAAGGAAGTGTTTGAATCTCAGAATGATATAATGAATGGTCCCCTGCATTGCAGAGTGGAAGTACACCGTTACATTGTGCCATTGAGAAGGGTCACATAGATGTTGCCCAAGTACTTGTGGAGAGAGGTGCTGAGCTGGATGTTGTGGACCAGGTGAGATTGCACTGTTGTTTTAATTTATACATGGCCACTCGCTGGTATCAATTTATAGTACAGGATGACAGCAATGCAATAGGTGCTTGTTGGTTTTGGGTTAGGCCATGATAGTGAATGAGCACTGCTTATAATCCTGCTGCTAATGCCCATTGCAGGTTAAAGACCCTGCTTCGCATCTCCAGTATTGGCGATGGTGACAATGCTTTCCGTTGTGCTGCAGTACCAGAGAACGCCACTACACATATCAGCTGCATTGGGAGATGTGGATGTGGTGCACTTGTTGGTTACCTATGGAGCCAACAAAGAGGCAAGGAGCTTGGTAAGCATCATGTGGCAGTCACCTCTCTTCTCACCTTCATGAGGATACGATTTGGTCTTCTTTCCCATTTGTGCTTTGCTATATGCCAATAACTATATATTCTATGGAGATTAACATCACCGAGGCTGCCTGCAGCCATATGATTTAGGGCCAACGGTGTGTCTGTGTCAGGGTGGAGACACCCCTCTTCACTGGGCTGCCAGGCATAACCACGGCAAGGTGGCAGCGTTTTTGTTGCAGCATGGGGCAACAATGGAAGCCAGGAATGATGTAAGTGCCGGATATTGTCGCATCTGAAATGCGATGCACCTGGTAATGTGTAAGTTGTTGCACATGTGAATGGTGTAAACAACCAGCATTGGTGTTTAGTGCTTGCCAAAGTAGTTTTGTTCTGTGAGCAATGTGGGCCACGTGGAGAATGCCTTCCCCTGAAGTGCATTCTGCTGATGCTTCACCACAGCAGATTGTGTTACAGTGTTGCCACCATCTTTGTGCATTGCACAGCCGATGCATAGAGCCTTCAATCTTAGCTCAACTTGCTGACCTCTTTCAAGGCAATCATTTTCTAGATTTCTCGTTAAAAGCGTCAGCACTAACATGCACTGCTTGTTGTGCTTCAGTGTCGACTGACACCCCAGGATGTTGCACGGAAAGAAGTGAAGCGGCTACTGAAAACTGGATTCAAAACTAAAGTTGTGCGTGCATTGAAGCACCTATTGAACTAGCTGTCTGGGCTTGATAGCTGCATTGAATAATGCCATGGAATTGGCATGTGGAAAATGTTTGGGCAAGGCATCTGTCAGCCTCCAGGATTTCATTCATCTGCAAATCTTAGTTCATAATTTCCATGTGCAATGATCTGCCACCTATCTCTGATATGCAGCGGGTCCAGGCATGAGAGTACTTCCATGAGAGTAGCATTTTTTCCTGATTTGTGGAAGTGTTTTGGTATTTGTGGTGTGGCATATAGATTTTTGGTGATCCTGAAATAGCGGGGATAGCTAGATAGAATAGGTTAACATTTGTGAACTCATCTTTCTTGCCATCTCTTTGTAGTTGTCTGATGTATGAACATGCATGAATGAATCAGTGCAACAAGACTGTGAATAGGGTTAACTATGGGTGCACTTGCGTTTTTTATTTACCATGTTGGGATAGAACGACAATCTGATGGATGGGATAGCTACTATTGTGATATGCTCACCTGCAAAGGGTGGCCATCTGACATGGCAGCCACCCGGGCGAAAATCCACAAAGCGCCAAGCCTCCGCCTGTCCCGCCTTCCAGCTTGATTGGATTTGCGTCGAAGGAGACGAATCTGGGGTTGTACAGCGCCCTCGCGAACACGTCGCCAGAGATTGCGCCATGGAAATTCCGGCTCAAACTGCCCTCCTGGGCTTGCACCTCCAGGGTCACGCATCCAGACCTTACGTGAGAAATACACGGGAAGCCGCTTCGATTCTCACAGCATCGCTTGGATACCCATGCACTTGAACGGCGAGATTGCAACGGGCGCCCTCTGCTAAAATTCGAGCGCAGGAGACCTCAAACTCTTTGCTGTGAAACCGATTTGGTCGGGCTGCATGCCACGGCCTGTGTGCACGGTTCGCACTCGAGGAGAATGCCAGCGGAGCGTTTAAAATTTCACGCACTATTGTCCGTCCGTTCGGCCCCTCAGACATTGGGCACAGCAGCATGCAGCCTGCGGCCCCCACACAGCACACCAGCCACTCCCCAAATACCCTAGCCACGTGAGAAAGGGCAGTACAATCAAATCTTATACAATGTCTATCAGGGCGCGTCCAAGCATGGCAGCTCGCATCATTGTCACTTTCTTTCTATGCGTATCACATCTGAGCGTGCTTCCGCAAACCTCACAACATCCTCATGTAATGCTCACATAGCCCCGTTGTAATGCTCCGATGGACATCACTTCACTCCCTCATCACCCTCCCAGCACAAGCGCAGCACCACAATCGAATCTGTACCGCGACCTGAAAGATTTGCAGGAATATTCGTTCACACCTACGGCTCCACCTGCCCTTCTCCCGCACTACAATTGTACTGCTCACAAACAACCCTGTGACGTCACAGCCACGCCGCAAATCAGCCCAGTGATATTTCTTGAACGAAGTAAAGGACTGATACACTCACCCAGCGTATCAGCAACAAAAGTCCATAATTTTCATGACCGAATTCGTAACCAGATTCCTGATGTTTCCATGCGTGGCCGGTCGTGTCGCTATTGGGCTATCAGACCTAATAGAAAACCACACAAAATACATCTGCCTAAGGAAGAAGAATTCAAAAGCGATGACATCACACCTCGCCCTGGGCTACGCTGAATCAATTGTGCATTGATCGGCGTGAAAATCCACATCAGCTTTGGCGTTTTGGTGCATGGCAGACACTGGGAAGTCAAACCTATTCCAGCAAGCATCTTGAGAATTCCTCAATCAACTAGAGCAGGATTTCAAATCTCCAATTCGCCAAGGTATTCAGCACAGGCTCGCAGCAGTTTCCACAAATGTGCGGTCGCAGAATGACATTAATCACACAGATTGACCGTCATCTTGCTTGAAACTTGGTAGCATGGTCATCAATTGCATAGATTGCCTTGCAGATGCTGTAGATTTTTGTAGCACGGATTGCCACCTCTCTTGGGTTAGTTCCAGTTGATCACCTTTAATGAAAGGCTTGGCCGACATTGGCAAAGTCTTCCCGTCTGGGAAGGCTTTTGAGACGCACAATCTCAGCCCTGCAGCGTCCCACTGGATGCCCACGTTCGCTGCCCTGTCTACCACTGTGAGTAATCCAGTAGCGGTACATCATTTGATCCCCCAAACCCCGTCACCTGTCCCGCGAGACAGTTGCTGCGTTGCACCACCACCAACGCTGGCGCCTCTTGCTATTTCCGCACTCCGCAAGCTGCAATTCCACGCAGCCTTCGAGGCCTCCACCCGGCCAGTGGATTCATCAGCGGAGATTTGCCACAAGTCGCCGCCATCGCCGGTTCACCAATCGCCATCGGTGCTCCCAGTCCCTCGATCCCGATTGCTGGTGCGAGCCAATCGACATGCAATGCAGCGACCGATCGGTGCGCATCCATCCTTCCAGCAGTGCTGCATTGTTGAAAGCGGTTTCCGAGTGAGGACGCAGCTTTGTGATCCAAGCATGCACATCCAAAAGAGTGCCGCACAGAGCCCAGTACGTCACATCAATTCCTGGGATGCAGGACTTCTGCTACGGCACTGAATGCGCCGATTCCGCGCAGCCTCGATACCGCCAGTCCTCGGCTCTCGCGGCAACCGGTGGGGAGACGCACGGCGCGTCGATCCCCCTCTCGCTTGGCCCGGAATGCGCGGACTGGGTGGCGCTCTGTCGGGGTGCTCGCTGGCTCACTCCGCGTCGGTGGGCCCGGGGACGCAGGTCGCATCGGGCGGATGCGGCTGTACAGTGGGCGGATGCAACAAGGTTGGTGTACCGCAGGGTACGCCTCACGTGGGCACGACTGAAGATCAGCCACCAAAAGAAACGAATGTTACAAAAGGCATACAGTTGCCCTTTTTATACTCCGCCAAGCGTCCAGAAACTTCCAGGAGGCCACACAATCAAAATGAACTCGTTTACATGCAAATTGATAGATAGCTTTTAGTAAAAATGTTTAAAAATGGAAAATTGGCATTCTTGCCAATTTTCCATTATCAAGTGAAGTTGTTGTGCCGATTTTCCATTTTGAGCATGATAAGTGACACCATCCAAAATCGCAAAATGGATTCCTGGCCGCCAAATTTCCAAATTGTATTTTTACTCACCTTGTTGTGCCGGTTTCCCATTTGATGAAAAAGTGGAAAAGCTTGCCGGATTTCCAAAATGCTTCAGTTTCTACTGTAACTATTGCACTAACCACATGCTCTCTCAGTCCACAATGGTCTCTCCCATTGCTCCGGTCACAAAGGAGTTGCAACCAGGATGTTGCAACCAGTTTCAATTCACTGCAATGCATGATGCATTGTCAATTTATCACCTTGATGTGCCTTGCTGCATTGCTGCCAATGCACATTGTGGTAATCTTGTATTCAGGCAAATCAACGAGGGAGGGATTGTCGATCAAGCTCTGGGTTTTGCTTTGTGTTGGTTTGTGCTGCTTTCCACTTGATAAAATGGGTGTTGAGCACTGCCATTGAATTGCGTCCAACACGGTTTCTATTCCATGCAATTGGTAGTTGTGGGGTATTGAAACCTGGTCATTTGTGCCCGCTCACAAACTTCCACGCACATCGAATGTGCATGAATTTCATGCAAACATTCCCACAGGCCGTCCCCGACCCCCCCATCCCCACCCACATTGTCAAGGCCACCAATTCCTTACTCGTGAAGATTGTGGGTGTGAGATTGTCAGCAAAAAGGTTGTTGCCATCAACCACGGCAAGTCTGGCCATATCAATTCGGACGAAGTGTCCGGCACAGGACTGAAAAAGAAAGTTGAATTTGGACAACGTCTGGTGAGGCTGAGCGGAAACAAAAACAATACTTGGACACTCCTACACACCTGCTTTACCACAACGGTGCACCCCTTTGCTTCAAATTTTCCAGCCACCTCCATGTGGCCACTGGCTCACAAATATAATAGAGTCAGCGCTGCTGCGAGACTATCACTATCAGCTGCCACAAGAAACGAAAGGTTCTAGAAGAACACGCGAGGATCGCAGACAGCACAGAGCCGCCGCCACCTCCGCTACACCGGGTGCCGCCACAGCGAGAGCTGCCACCATCCACACTGCTCCAGGCACTGCGACGGCTGGAGCCGCCGCTACCACCTTGCCGCTACTACCCCTGTTGTAGCCATTCCGGAAGAATGAGGTGAGAGGACTTGATGGAATCTGGCAATGGATTGGGGCCCCACAGCGCGACCCTAGCACGAGCGGGAGGCTTCGCTGCGAGTTGGTCCGGTGTGCACAGAATGGGATATGTGTATGCCGTGCATGAGCGTACATGAGGAAGCGCAGGCATGCCTGCGAACGTTGCCGAGTAAGCGGAGGTCCTGGATGCATTGGCCGCAAAGGTCACCCCAACCAGGTGCAAGCTGCACGTGGGGCAGGCAGTCGCCAGACTGCGGCGGGGCTCGGGCATGCGCAGGATGCCTTGATGCGTGGTGGGCTAGTTTGCAGGGAACGGTGTGTGTATGCCGTGCACAAGGGTGCAAGAGAAAGCATGCATGCATGCGAACGTTGGTTGCCGAGGATACGGAAGTCCTAGATCTCAATGGCCGCAATGGCCAACAAAGTCGAACAGGTGCATGCCCCACAAGGGGCAGGTGGCGTTCGGCCCGCACCGCAACCCGGGCATGCGCTGGAGGTTACACCACACGGTAGGCTATGCACAAGATAGGTTTTGGTGTTGCCATGCATGAGTGTGTATGAGAAAGCAAGGGCGTGCATGTGAACGTTGCCTGCCGAGGAGGCGGAGTTCACAGTCCGGTCCCGGTTCTTGGCCACAGCGAAGGTCACATCAAGCAAGCACATGCCCCACAAAGGGCAGGCAGTGGTCGGCTTGCAGTGCAAACTCGAGCCATTGCGCAAGGTTTCTCCACTGTGTGGAAGGCACCAGACGAAAGGGGGGTTGGGGGGTTGGGGGGGTGCCTGAGCGTGAACATGCATTTTTGGTTTGGGCATCGCCAATTACTATGTCGTGGCTGAGAATCGGCTGGCTGCACGCAGGCGCC